ACAGATGAGCCCCAAAGTGGGAAACTGGCATGAACAGGCTGGAGAAGACAGCTTTTATGTAACTCATAATTCAGAAGCTGTGATTCCTTGCAATTTTATGAAGAAATCAGACTTCTATGCTGCATTGATTTTAAACTGGGCTACCCTTTAGAACTCCTCCCTCCTCCTCAGCCTCCAGACTGACAGCTTCTAGAAGGGCTTCGTACATCAACATCCTCTTCACAAGGACTACCACATGCTCAGGACCTGCCCTGTGTAAGGGCTTTTTAACAGGGCCTTCTGTAGTCCTCGCTGGAACCTAATGAGGAGGCTATGCTAACTCCAATTTACAGACCAGAAAACTGAGGTTTGAGGGTAAAACAACTCCCTGGAGGCCATGCAACTGGAAAGTGGAATGGCTGAGCTTTTGATACAGGCCTAACTCCAAGGCCTTCATGTTTTCCACTCCTTCAAGCTTCAAGGAAAGAGAGGGAGGAGGTGCTGTCTTTTGAGTTCCAGAAACTCCAGCATGCCAATGAAAAGGGATGAGTTCCCTTTCCCGTGGTGCTCCCTGGAGGAAGATCAATAGCTTTGCAAAAGACCCAGCAAGATCCTTGGCTGGTGAGAACTACACATTGACATGAGAATTGGTCCTCATCCCAGATACTCTCTCCCAACCTCTGCACCTGCAGGCCTTAGTCTGCTCTAAGCTTCCTCCGTCTCTCTCACTTGCAGCAAGTGCTTTCTTTTCAGGGATGAGGCAGTTCTCCTTGACCTCATGCCTTAAACCTGACTACTCTATCTGAGCATTTTTTTCTATTCTGGATGCATCGTTGGACTAGTGTTTCTCCAAGTATATTCAATTGCATGTTAATAGGGATCAAGACAAAAAAGTTTTGTTGTTAAGTTTGTTTGGGAAGCTCCAATTAAGTAAAAGTAAGTGATTCTTTTCCAAAGGTCTTCTCAGGGCTTTTAATATGCGAATGAGCTTTATTAAAATCCCAAGAGAAAGCTATAGAATTTTCATTTCCCAAATTTATTTGACCCCAGACCCTTTTAATTAAGGGAATCTTGGGGGATAGACTTCTGCCCTAGACAAGCCCCAGGAGAGAATCTGGTACCAGATAAGGATTTAGGCATGAATTGAAGATTATTTTAAACATGTCTGGAGAGAAGACCAAAATTAGAATAAATTGTAATTGCTTACAGTTAAGACTTAGTAGCTAAAGGATTTAGCTTACTTTTTAACAAGCTTTAGCTATAAAGGTAGTTCTCTACATGGTAATATATTTTTACTGTTCACTTGTTAAAGTTATTTCAGTAATGATAAGTTTTTATTCTACCATGATAAAAAGGAGGGACAATGGTAATTCTCAGTCTGGGGGCAGCATATCCAGAATGATCTTGAAAATTGGATCTACACATCTACACTTTTAAAAGGGCATGCAGCTCCCAACCCTTCTTTCTTACCTCCAGGTGCAGAGGAATGTCTGCTCACTTTGACCTATAGGCAATGACTACTGTCTCATGATAACTCCACTCACAATTACATCTTAGGCATTCTCACTGCAGTGAATATCAGAGAACAATTTGGTTGGAGGAAATAACTCTGGTGACAATTCCCCCTATTTTATGGATGAGGAAATAAAGACCCAGAACACCCAGCCACCAGGTGAGTGACTAGAGCTCAGACTGTTGACAGCGGGCAGCCCATTTAGACACCACGGCTCTAAAAGATCCTGCAATGAGTAAGAAAAATATTGCTAACGACGCTAACTCTGGGTATTTCCAGCAGCTTCAGTCAACTGCTAAGAAAACAACCCCAACCGGCTAAAGGTGATGCTTTGGCAGGCTCAGGGGATGTGGATTAGGGGAACCCAACCCAAGCAGTGTTTTTGTGATCTGCCAGCCGCCTCTCTCCATTCCTCTTCTCCAGCATCGTTAGGATGGCAGAAATGAGCTGCACTTAGGAGGCTGCCACCGCTGCCTCAGCACTGGAGCCAAGGGAGGGGAAGGGCATTGGAGACACTGATGTCTGTCCCTGTTTGCTTTGGGCTCTCACCTGAGGCTTCAGGGGAGCCTGGCTCAGCAATTTTCCCGGAGGGGACATTTGATCTACTTTTAAAGGGATTTCAAAGAATAAGAATAAAGACTTCGGCAAGAGAGATTGGCACTCCATTAATGGATGGAGTAAATGTCTCCAAGAAGAACCTAACATAGAATCCCCTTTGTGAATTGTCTGGATGGGTAATTTTTTTTTCTTAAACTCCAAACATTTGTTGCTGAACACTATTTAAATATCAAAACAATCCTGCAAGTGAGGTAGAATCCTTATTTTACAAATAAGGGAAGAGTGTCTCAAAGAAGTCAAGGAACTTGTCCAAGGCCTCTACCTGGTGAGATGTAGGCAAAGGGATATAAACCTAATCTTCTGAAATCCATCATGATAGGCCTTCTGTTAGACCACAGTTATCTTACTATTGTGTGGCATTTTGTAATTTTCAAAGGACTTTCACTTACATTTATTCTGTGAGGCTTACTACAAACCAGTGAGGTAGGAAGGGATTTGACAGATCAGTACAGATTTATGTGTTAAATCACGTTCACCCAACCCAAATCCACCCTAACAGATGTCTTGCTCTCTACTCTCTCAGCTTGGTTTTCTTCCTTCCTTTTCTTCCCTCCTTTCCCCCCTCTTTCCTTCCCTTTTTTCCTTCCTTCCCTTTTGAAGAATTTATTTATTTTTAGAGACAGAGGAAAGGAGGGAGAAAGAGACAGAGAGATACATCAATGAGAGAAAGAAACATTATTGGTTGCCTCTTGTACATGCCCCAACTAGGGACTGAACCGGCAACCCTGGCATGTGCCCTGACTAGGAATTGAACTGGTAACCTTTTGTTTTGCAGGACAATGCCCAGTCAACTGAGCCACACCAGTTAGGGCCCCTGCTTGGTTTTCTTACTCTCCACTCACACTTAGCTTCCTTTCCCTACCATCCTTTCATGAATCCTGTCAGGGGTACAAAGTTGTCTTGGAACAGCTGAGGTCAGACATAAGTTATTCCCTTCCCCTACATCTTCAAATAGAGTACTAACAATAGCTAAATGTGAAGTTCATACTGTGTGTCAAGACCTGGACTGAGCATTTTATATTAAACTTTTTTAATGCTCACAACAACCCCACAAAGTACCCGCTATTATTATTGCATTTTATAGTCGAGGAAATCCAGACACATACAAGTTAAGTAACTTGTCCAAGGTCAAAGAGCTAGTGAGTGGAGCTGGGATTCTAACTAGGCCAGACTAGCTCTAGACAAACTGCTGAGCAGAGACTTGAGACTTAGCTGCAGAGCACTTAAAATTGGTTAACTTGGGGTTCTTCAGGGCCTTTTAGACCAATCCTCTGCCCGGATTGCCTAGTCTGGAAACTGTCTCAGAAAGATAGAGTGCTTGCTCCTGATTTGTCTGAAATTCTGGAGCTATACTAACCACTTATTTCTGGCGAAGTCTAGAATCACCGTCCTCTACTCCTGTTACACCTTGTCAAGTCCCATATGTAGATAACAACCTGGGAATTTCCTCTTGCCATGTGTGGTATGGTTGGGTGTGGAGGTGGGCTGCACTGGGATAGAGGACGGTTGAGCTGTTGGAAGTTAGAGCAGTAATTGTAACCACGTTACCACCAAGGGCCCCTCACTCCATCCCTCCTGGCCCAGATGGACTTCCCTGGTCATAAGGATTACCTGGAGGGCTCACTAAAAATAGAAACATTCAAGTCCTTTCTTTGAAGATTTTCACTCCATAAAACTGGGGTGGGATCTGGGTCTAGATACTTATATTCTTGGATACTGGTCATCAGTCAGTTAACACATGTTTGTGTTGTGCTTACCATATGCAAGAAGCTGGAGATTCAGAATGAGTAGGATTCAGTTCCTTCCTTCAATGAGCTAAGGGCCTGGAAGGATACTGACAGATAAATAGAGAAGTATACATTAACTCAGGGCCGTGGTGGGAAAAGTACAGGGTATGTTGGGAAAACAGGGAGGGGTATCTAACTCAGACCAGGTTGGGGAGGGGATAGCAAATACTAAGGTCTCCAGATCTGACACAGCACATGCTCTCAATTTAAGATGGATGGGGTCCATCCATCTTGACACTACTAGCCAACTGAAGGATGCCCACAGCATCCTTCTCTTGCTTCTGGACCCAGATATTACCTGCTGTTTGTCTAGGACGGTGGTGAAGAGGTTTGGTCTAAGACTCCTCTCTGCCCATGTCCCCTCCTTCTTCCCAAGCCTCACACTTGTTTGTTTTATATTTGGCCCTCACTTTTACCATGGGTCAGACATTTTATCTCCACTTTTGTTTCCCATGAGCATCATTGCTCAGTTCAAATGGCAGGTTAGCTTAAACAGATGCCTTTGGTTCAGGTGATGTCTGAGTGCTCCCTGTGGGGTCAGTGTACTTTCCGTTCCCCTCCCCCCATCCCAAGCCCTCCCCTGGATATTTCTCTGGAGAGGTGGGCACAGATAACATGGCACTGGGATGTGGCAATCAGCACTGCAGAAAGAGACTCTGTCTACCTGAAAGGATTTGTCTCATCTTTGCCTCTGTGTCATGGAGCTCAGTGGCTCCTAATCTCCTGGTGTTAAAACACAATTTAGCCTGCTGAATCAGGTGCTGTTTGAGTTCCCCAGGACCCCTAAGGAAATCACTGGAAGGGAAGGTGGAGAGCTCCAGTCTTTTGCCAACTAAGGCAAGTTTGGGTGATTAAGCTAAGAAAGAAAAATCATTTTGGTCCAGAGGATTATTTTTGAGGTGTGTTGGGAACTTAGAAGTAACTTATTGCCTAGAAGGCAAACCAAACCCAAGATGACTCTCAGCTAATTGCTGGCCTCTCCTTCTGCCAAGACAAACTGCTTGGTATATAAGGGCCAGTCTCTTCTGCTGTCCCCATGCACTGTCTTCCTTCCTATCAGCTCTTGCTAAGCGATTGCTAGCTCACCTCCAAGCTCTCTCACCATGAAGAGACAAGCCTGCAAGAAATCCTTCAGTGGCGGGAGCCAGGGCTTCTCCGGCCACTCTGCTGTGGTCTCCGGCAGCAGCAGGATGAGCTGTGTGGCCCGCTCTGGGGGTGCTGGTGGAGGAGCCTGTGGGTTCCGGAGTGGGGCAGGCAGCTTTGGCAGTCGCAGCCTCTACAACCTGGGTGGCAATAAGAGCATCTCCATCAGCGTGGCTGGTGGCTCCCTGGCTGGTGGTTTTGGGGGAGGGCGTAGCAGCTGTGGCCGTGGCTTTGGGGGTGGCTATGGAGGTGGCTTTGGCAGAGGAATAGGAGGTGGCTTTGGAGGGGCTGGTGGCTTTGGAGGGGCTGGTGGCTTTGGAGGGGCTGGTGGCTTTGGTGGAGCTGGTGGTTTTGGTGGAGCTGGTAGCTTTGGTGGGCCTGGTGGCTTTGGTGGGCCTGGTGGCTTTGGCCCTGGTGGCTTCCCTGGGGGAATCCAGGAAGTGACTGTCAACCAGAGTCTCCTGCAGCCCCTCAACGTGGAGATCGATCCCCAGATTGGGCAAGTCAAGGCCCAGGAGCGGGAGCAGATCAAGACCCTCAACAACAAATTTGCCTCCTTTATTGACAAGGTGAGGAAAAAGCCCAGAGACATGGTGGAATGTTTGGGCCATCCAGGGTGTTGGTATAGAGGGAAGCCAGTGGGATCTGGTAGGCTTAGAGGCAGGGGTGTGACATCTTGTCCTGGCTCTGCCTTGGCTCCTACAAGTCAGTAAGCCTGCCTTTCTTGCTCTTTGGGCCTTGTTTTCTCAGCTATGAAATGGGGGAAAGATTCCAGCTTCTGGTTTCCTTCTAGAAACAGGACCAGGAAAAATGAGACGACAGTCCAAACATACTCTTAGCTCTTGTTAAGAATAGGACATGAGCCATGACACGATTACAGCTAATTTTCAATTACTTTTGAAAAACAATTGTTTGATAATCTAAACTACCTGGAAATTAAGCTTGTACTAGTAGAAATCTTGAGACTGCCTCTCAGTGACGAATATTGGTAACTGACTTACCTTCCGAATGGTGCTGTGCTTCAGCCACTATTAAATTAAGGAGTCTGTGCTGGGACAGGGAAGTATGTGCTTGGTCTGGGGGGATGAACCTGGGATTAGAAGTTAACCCTAGATTACCTGTAAATCAAATAACTGAAAGGGGAAAAAACTTAAGAAAGTCTGAAACAACCTCAGAAAGGTTAGACTTCATTGACTGTTTTTACTACCGACAGAGAGGTGATAAAGTTTTCAATGATATGTAGCTTTATGTATGCTACTCTCTGTTAGTTGTATTCTGGATTCCAATAGACCAGGGAAGTGCTTCGTTCGACTCTTTGCTTTGTCACTTAGTAGCCATATTACTCTGGGCAATCTAATTAAGCTCTTTGAGCCTTAGTTTCCTTACCTACAAAATAAGGGTAATAACACCTATATAGGTTGTTGTGAGAATTAAATGAGATAGAACATGTAAAAATAGGTATAGAATAGGCAATTAACATATTCTAGCTCTCCCTTTTCTAAATCCTTATCCTTTTCAAATAACAAACAAACAAACACCCCCAACCAAACAACACAACAAAAATACCAGAAGCTATTGTAGTTTAAAAAACTGGGTTCATGTCCCACATTTCTACCCTTTGGGATGCAGGTGCGGTTCTTGGAACAGCAGAACAAGGTCCTGGAGACCAAATGGAATCTGCTCCAGCAGCAGCACCCCGGCTCCGGCTCGGGCCCCAACAACCTGGAGCCTTTCTTCGAATCCTACATCAGCTTCCTGCGCAGGCAGCTGGATTTGGCTCTGGGGGAGAGGGGGAACCTGGAAGGAGAGCTGAAGAACATGCAGGACCTGGTGGAAGACTTCAGGAAGAGGTAAGGGCCCCAACTGGGCAGTTTCCTCTCCTGGGGGATTAGCAAGGAGGCACGGCCCTTGCGGTTTTAACTTTTCCTGACTGCACCTTCAGTCAATACTCTTGGACATGTTTATTGAGGGAAGCATGACTAAGCAGAAGGGGGTGAGACAGTGGGGCTTGGGACTTTTAGGAGGATGATTATGGCATGGTTTTCAGTCTTCAGGCAGGTCCCTGCCTACCCCACCTCAGGTGGACAGGAGAGCCTCCCAGAGTTTGAAACCCTTTAAGATGGGGAGACCTACACACTACCGTACATAGGAATCCACTTGGAAGTTTGTAAAAAATACGCATTCCTGGGTTCCAGCCTTAGACACCCTGAGTCAGGGGTGTAGGTGGGTCCCAGAAGTCTGAGTGCCCCACAGGTCCCAGGGATTCTGGGCCGAGAGTCCAGGCCCCGCTTTGTAAAACACTCGCTCAGCGTGGCCAGTCCAATTCCCTTTGCTGCAGCATCAGTCAGTCTCCTCGTGTATGTTTAGTGCTGTAGTTGACATCCTCTGAGTCTGTGAGAGGTAAACAGGACCTCTTGAGGTGGGGAAGGAGCTCCAGACCTCCTTGAAGGTCAGGACCCATAGAAGTGGGCACACCTGCTCAGGGGAAACCCATTCCAATTCAGCTGCACAAACCTGGTGGACACCCCTCTGTGGCAGGCTCCCCACGGGGCTCTGCGAATCCAGTAGCCACTCATATTCTCATTGCCTGAAACCTCTTTTTTCCTGGAGTCATCCCAGTTTTTCATCTTCATGAAATCCAAACCCTTGGATGGGATATTTTAATTATTAACTGGCATGAACTCATAACTTTGATGCATTCAGAAGACACGAGTTCATTCTTATCCCAAATTCCTATAAGAAGCAACTCTAATTAATGAAAAGAGAAACAGAAACACCCCATCTGAGCAAATACCTCTTTAGGCCTCTATGCGCACACCACACGGAGCTTTGTGATGTCTGCTGGAGTGGGGCAAGCAGCTGGGCTCCTCGAAGCCTCCCTCCACCCTGCCTGCCCGCACCTCAGCTTGTCACCAGAACTCTGAGAGGCCTCTAGGCAGAACCGGCTATATACACTTTGGGGTTCAGGTGCAAAAGGACAATGCAGGGCCTTTGTTAAAAAAATTATTAAGAATTTCAAGATACTTCCAGCAGAGCATTAAACTGAGTGCGAGAACCTCCTGAGCCCAGGGCCTTGTATAGCTGGCCCTGTCTCTGAGTGAGGAGATTCTGCATGAGTGCTCGAGATCCTCACTTTTTTTTTTTTTAAACTTCTGAAATGTCACTCTCCAAGTGTGTGCCTCTTTTCTGTCCCAGGTATGAAGATGAGATCAACAAACGCACTGCGGCAGAGAATGAGTTTGTGGGACTCAAGAAGGTAAGTGAGCTGGGACAGGAAGGTCAAGGCTCCCTTTCTGGGCACTGCCATTGCCACCGTGGACAGAGGACAGAGCCAACTCTGGGGCACAGTGACCCTTTGCCCTGTGTGGGGCTTTCGTTTTTCCTTACATTTTTGGAAATGAGGTGTTTGATGAAGGAAGCTGCCCTGAGTACATTACTGGTGGGGAAGACATCTTACAATATGAATGATGAGCTGATTAGTAATGTCAACTAATAATTAACACTTTTTAATAACAGTAATCAAGGGTTTGAGCTCACAAATGTACTCGGATGTTATTAACAGCAACAGTCCTTAAATACTTGTTGCTTGTTTAAATCAGTTATCATACAGATGAAGTAATGATAAGAATGCCTTATTTCTATTCAGGAGGGTGGGTTTTGGTACTTTATAAGCAAAGTTGTATGTTAGATAAATGTGCTTTTTCTACCCTTATTCCATGCCTGGCTGATACGATTTATAGTTTGTTATAGCGCTAGGGTTTCATTGGTCAAAACAATGAAAAGAAAACCACATTTTCTTTCTTTTAAAAGGGAAAGTGGGAAGTCACAATGGAGAGGAGGGGTGGGCGAGGGACAAAGGGGAGAGATGAAGATAGGCAAAAGCTGAGCTAGGAGTGGCAGGGGAGCAGAGGGTCATTCTTCTGGTGTTCTGACCACCCTGCCCTCCCCACCCCCCAGGACGTGGACGCGGCCTACATGAACAAGGTGGAGCTGCAGGCCAAGGTGGACTCCTTGACAGATGAGATCAACTTCCTGAGGACCCTCTTTGAGATGGTGATTCCTTGGCTTGCCAAGCTCCAGAGCCTTCCCGTCTGTATCTCCCCAAACATATTTCTCAAGTGTAACTTTAGGGGACAGTCAAGTGGCAGAACACACACAAAAGCAGTGATAAGGCTCATAATGCAACTCCGCCCTACCCAGGAAATGCTAACATAGTTCCCGTAGCCTGCATGGTCCCTCTCTGTCCTCTTTACTTTCCCATTTTGTTCTACACCTTCCCTCTCGCTCCCATATGGGTATCACATCTAGCTCCTTCAGAGCACTCCTCCCTACTGCAGTCCCATGGAAACCCATGCAGTATGCTGCTGCCTGATACTTGCACAGTGATGCCTCATTATATTTGTGCATTTCCTTTTCCTTTAGCTTTGTTGTCTGGCATTCTTCAGTCTGTAGCCGGGCCTGAAATGCGAGCTTATTTTTCTAACTGTCCCACTCCTGGCCCCATTGTTGGGATATCTCTGCTGATCAAAGATTCTTGAACTTTTTCATTCCCAACATCCCCCGAGGCCAAGGGATAGTGAAGATGAACATCCATGTCCCCCACAGGAGCTGTCCCAGATGCAGAGTCATGTTAGTGACACATCTGTGGTCCTGTCCATGGACAATAACCGCAGTCTGGACCTGGACAGCATCATCGCCGAGGTCAAGGCCCAGTACGAGGAGATCGCCCAGAGGAGTAAGGCTGAGGCTGAGGCCCTGTACCAGACCAAGGTGGGAGCCCTTTCCTCTCCCCCCACTCTTGTTTTAGGTCTTGCTGACCTTCATCAGAAATGCTCCCACACTTTGCAAAACCATGTTGATTGGTTTCTCCTCTGTTAGCTTGGGGAGCTTCAGACCACAGCTGGTAGACACGGGGATGACCTGAAGAGCACCAAGAACGAGATCATGGAGCTCAACAGGATGATTCAGAGGCTACGGGCCGAGATTGAGAGCATCAAGAAACAGGTGATTCTGGGATTAATAGAGAGATCCTGGAGGCCTTCTGGACTCTGGGGAGAAGGAAAAGCAATGGATGAGCCTCTGCCACATGCTTTGTCTGATGGTATCACATACAGGCACATTCTGTTTCTCCAGATGGTCCTCCAAGGAGGCTGGGCTTCTTGAAGGCGCCCTAAGGAGAGGTGGTTGCCCATTCTGGTTTGCCCAGCAAATCTTGCAGCTGTAGGGGTGTCCTTAAACACAGCCCTCAGTAAAATCAGCCCTCAGTGAGCTATTAGTCATGTACTTCACGTAATCTTGTTAGCTAATTTGTATCACTGGAATGAAGTGATTACACAAGGGAGTTTCTGAACAGTCTTACAAAAAAGAACCACTCACTAGACCACTACTACCTTTATGAGCAAATCAGCATTCTTTTTTCGATGAGACATGAGTCAATTTCAATGGGCCAGATGAATGAACCACTGGCAAAACTGACTTCTGTTTTCTGAGCATGCTCCATTGAATTTTTAAGGAAGGGAAGGAAGGGGTGTTGGATGGGGAAGATATATCCTCTCAGGAAGGATCAGCTGTTTGTTTCTGGGTCATTATGATAATCCAATTTCCCTCTATTCCAGAATGCCAACCTTCAGGCCGCCATTGCTGATGCTGAGCAGCGTGGGGAGATGGCCCTTAAAGATGCCAATGCCAAGCTCCAAGAGCTGCAGACCGCCTTACAGAAGGCCAAGGATGACCTGGCCCGGCTGCTGCGTGACTACCAGGAGCTGATGAATGTCAAGCTGGCCCTGGATGTGGAGATTGCCACCTACCGCAAGCTACTGGAGGGCGAGGAGTGCAGGTGAGGGGTGGTGGGGTTGGCATTCTCCAGATATAAAGTGGCATTTGATAATGAAGAAAAAAGGCAAGATGATAAGGAGAGGACAACTGAGACAAAGGGTAAGAAATCTCCTGAATGACAGAGTTTAGCATTCAAGTCCCATTGTGGTTTGTTAATCAAGATCATCTAACTCTCCGCCTTACCATAGACATAAATATAGTATTACATACCTCTGATGAGCTTTTCTGTGTGTGATGTGTAAGAAAAGTCTTCGAGGTTATGAGAAAGTTATAATGCTGTCTATTGGAACTTACTGAGATGACAGAAATGTTCTATATCTGTGCTGTCTAATACAGTAGCCATTAGCCATTTAAACACCAGAAATGTGGCTAGTGCAAATGAGGAAAGGAGTTTTACATTTGATTTAATTTTAATAAATTTAAGTAGCCTTATGTGGCTAGTAGTTACCATATGGACAGCTTAATATACACAGTTCTGCAACCACTCACCCCTGAGCCCTAGTCCATGTAAGGAGGTGGCTGATACATACACACATACTCTGGAAAAATAACACACTATCAGATAGCAGAGTAGGGCTTAGTGAGTGGCTATCAAACGTCAAAAACATATCAAGAATTGAGAGATCTTTCTGCTGACTAGCTTTCCATGAAGCTCATGTTCATAGCCTCTATCCCCAGGCAGCTCCCAACCTGATGAAAAAAGCAATACTCAAGTGGGAGAAGAAAACTTAAGGATTTCTCATGAGTCTTCATGAAACAGAGTGAGAGTGAAGATGACGTTGTGTGTTTTGGGGGTTGTGTGATGAAGAGGGAGTGGTTGACACCAGTGGGGCCCATGTGGGCATGGTGTGCAGACACACTCCATGTCTGCTCTGATGTGAGCCATGCCTGGTCCATGAATGAGAATGAGGCATGGGAAATGGGTAGCATGGAAAGGGCATTTTCAAATTCATCATGTGTAGAGTGTCAGCTCCTCTCACATTTTACTCACCTCGAATAACTACTATCATCACCACCCTTACCACACCAGGAAAGCTCACTGAGAGAGGGAAGTCAGAAATAAAAAAGCCAGGGCTGGGTGAAGGAAGAGGGGAAGGTGGGAAGATGGTCTCAGCAGGGGAGGAACGGTGAGACTGGTGGCTAATCAAGGTTATTTGCCTGGAACAGATAACCTTGGGAACTAAGGGAAAGAAAATGAGATGGAGGGTGGCTGGTGGACATCTCAACCCCCTGAAGCAGCCCCATTTCCGGGGGAGGTCTGATCATGGAAACAGGCTTGGAATAGCCTTTCTTCCTGCTGGGAACTTGACCACTCATTGGGCAAATGGGAGAATGTGGCTCCCAAAGTTATGAACCCTCAGCAGTTTGACTAATGACTCATTGCAGAAATAATCCGTTTCTCCTTCTCTTCTTTTTTAAGGATGTCTGGAGAGTGTCAGAGTGCTGTGAGCATTTGTAAGTAGCCCTTCAAAAACCTTCTCCTGGGTTGTAAAAAGGGGAATTAGAAACATTCTCTCTGACCTTCAGGCAGGAGAACTTGACCCGTGCAAGTAAGCCAGGCCACCAAATGGCATCTAGGGTCTCTGGTCATGGCCACACTTTGTCCCTAAACTGGCAAACCCTTATGGTCTTGGGAAGTTCCCTAAGTTGGAGAACCAGAAATTTCTGTGGATATTGTGGGCTCCTGTTTTTGGAAAAGGGCACCAGAGGGCCAGGTTTATTATTATTTCTTTTTAACCAACTAAGGTCTTGGAGAAGTTGGGTTTTCTCTAAGTTACATAGCCCAGTGGGGTGGAGCTCTGATATAGACCCAGGTCGTTAGCTTGAATTGAGTGCTTGTTCTCCTGTAGCGGTGGTCAACAATGTCACCAGCACAAGCAGCAGCTCTGGTGGAAGCCATGGAGCCTTTGGAGGAGTCAGTGGCAGCAGCAGTGGCTACAGAGGCAGCAGCGGCAGCAGCATCAGCAGAGGCAGCAGCGGTGGCTATAGAGGAGGAAGCAGTGGCAGCAGCAGTGGCTATGGTGGCGTTAGCAGTGGCAGCTCTGGGGGCTACCAGAGTGGCAGCAGTGGGGGCTACCAGAGGGGAAGCAGTGGGGGCTACCAGAGGGGAAGCAGTGGGGGTTACCAGAGTGGCAGCACTGGGGGCTACCAGAGCGGCAGCACTGGGAGCAGGCTCAGCAGTGGAGGCAGCAGCTCTGTGAGCCAGAGTGGAATTGGCTCCAGCTCTGGTGGCGTCCAGTCCTCTGGAGGCAGTGGCTACAAGTCTAGCAGTGGAGGCGGCCCCAGTATACACTTCTCCCAGACCACCAGCTCAAGCCAGCACAGCTCCAAATAATCCTCCAGGGCCAAATTTCCAAGCTTACCTGCTTCCCTCTCAGCTTGCAACAGCGCTTCCCACTCTCTGCTTAGCATCAACAGATGCTAACCTCAACCTCGCTTTTCCTCAAGTTCCCTGGAGAAGGGGCTGAACTTCCTGACTCCTCCATGTTTAAGACGTCTCCTAGGCCTGGGAGGGCCAGCTGTTAGCCTGGGATGATGTCCTTGGATCTGACCTGGTGATGGCCCCTGATTTTGGGCAGCAACACTTGAGACCAAATCAGTGTGGACTTTCCCAGGTGGTCTGTTCCCTCTCTGGCTCATCGCCCTCTCTCACTGGGGGTGGGTGGTCCGAAGCTGGCATAGTTCAGCCCCACTTGGACTCTTGGTTCTCAGGGTGCCTTCCCCACATCTTGACTTACCTCTGTCCCCTTAATTACCTTAGCTGTGGATCCTCTGGTGATGATTATGTTGCATTTTCTTTTCTCAATAAATTGCACTGTATTTCACATTCTGGTGTTTGACTTTCATTCAAGGAGTCACAGAATAAATTGAGGCACAAGAGTGGAGGGAATCAGGTGTGGGTGGTGGTCTTCCAGAAGCTCAGTAGTGGTTATAAGGGCACTGAATTATCTTGGCTTCTCCTTTATCCATATGGTTGGGTTTCTTGGGATAGGTATGCCCAAGGGTACTTCTGTTACTCAAGAGAGGACTCCCCACAAAGAGGTCTTTTCATCCGTCCCCCCGCTGCTGGACAGGCCTCTGTGATCTGGTCTTGGAAGGAGAGTTTTGCAGTTCATCAAGGGAATACAATCTACTGGGACTTTGGCTCCTTTGCTCTGCTCCCATGCCAGGCAGACAGAGCAAATTTTCTTTCTGCAATCATAGCTCCTGGGATCTGAAGGGACCAGGTTCTGAGTCAATTAAAAAAGACAAAGGAATGAACAAATGAAAAGCCAATACTGCCTTTATTAACAAAGCAGATACTGGAAAACATGGCTTATACTTTGATGGAATGGGTTTTCTATTATAGGACCTCAGGATTAGGCCAGATTTCGCCCTTGAGCAGAAGCAGAATGGGGCCATGATGGTGTTCTCTGTGGGGTCAGACTCCTCATAGCAGATGGGAGAGTAGAACATAAGCTTGCTATAGACAGGCAGATCCTAAGAGATGGAAGGGCAAAGCTATACAAGCCTGGTTCTTCCTTCCAAGCTCACTCATCAGAAGAGAAAGGGCAGGAGTGCTGCCCTAGTAAACTCATTGTAGAGGGATATAAAATTGGAAATGAGTAAGATGCATGCATGCCTGACCTTTCACTGACATTTCCTCTCAGAAAGCTGAAACCTGGGGGTAATGGGACAGCCAGTGAGGTTTTGTAAGTCCTGGTAGGTCATGCAACACCCCCTCTGGCCCCATCTCCCTAGAAGTCACATCAGAGCTGGGCTAACGATGGGGCATCTGTACATTTGTCTGATAGTCTGAGGAGAGTGTCCAGACCCAGCCTCCTGTTCTTGAGCCTTCTGTGACCTCCTAAACTCATCCAATCAGATCTACAGCAGCCCTGGTCTCAAGACCTGAAGAAAGAGTTATTTTAAAATTCCTCTTCTTGAGGGTTCATTAAGTGCTTGCCCATCTTTTTAAAGTCTATAGACAGGAGGTAGCTCTCTTCTCCATTTGCACTTGGCACAGCTCTGGGTACTTTGGGAACAGGGCAGGCTGTTGTAGATTGTTGCACTTATGGCTTTTTAGAGACATTGCAGGAAAAACCACCAATCCCTAGGAAAATACCCCAGATGCTCCGTGTGTTGCCTAACTTAGTGGGAAGGGGCTGACTGTGCTGGATGAACCCAGCTTCTCATTAGACTGAAGCAGCAGGGATTGGGGACTCTGTGCTGTCTCTTATCCGTGTGCTGTATGTGTGGAAAGTTTGGTCCTGAGTACTGTCTCTGGGGCTCTGCTAGAGTGTGGGGCTCTCAGTGAAAGTTTGGTGGTCAATTGAACTGATGAATAGAAATAAATCAGGAGAACAGGACCAGCCATCCACCAGCCTGAAGGGAAGACAGAATGGTTGTACTCCATGGCAAAATGGAGCTGAGAGTTGACAGTGGGGGCCTGGAACTCTTATGGGGAAAGACAATAGATAGGACTACCGAGGGAGGCAGTGAAAGAGTGAAGGGCACTTGAAATTAGGAGAGGGGGTCAATCAAGGCATGTTGGAAAGGGAGCCTGGAGCAGGACTGGGAAGAAGAGAGAACCTGGGCATCATGCAGGAAGGGCCAGGGTACAGGGCAGAAGTCCAGGCTAGATCCCAGGAGAATTCCAGGGCTAGCATCATCTTCCATGTTCTTTTCAAAAAATCCTCACCAAAGGATAATTTTATTCATTTGGGGGACAGGGAGGGGGGACGGGAAGGGAGAGAGAGAAAGAGAGAGAAAGAGAGAGAGAGAGAGAGCCTCCCTTATGTGCCCCGACAAGTAATCGAACCTGCACTCTAAGTATATGCTCTGACCAGGGATTGAAGCTGCAGCCTTTTTTGGTGACTGGACGGCGCTCCAACCAACTGAACCATCCAGCCAGGGCATGGCCCATGTTTTTTTGACGCAGACTGGGACTAAACTGTGTGCAAGTGTATCAGGGAAGCTTCCAGGGTGAGGGAATCACATCTGAGGCCAGGCTAGGGGCTGGGGAGGAATAATTCTAAGTCTATGGGAGGTTGGCAATTCTGACATTTCTGAGCCTTGAGGAATCCCTCAAATCCACCTTCCATTTGAAGATAAGGTGGGGAGTCTCTTTGTCTTTGAAGGCAGCCAGGTTATGTAAAGTAAGTATTTACCTAAGTGGAATGGTCTGAGGGGTGACAGGAACCTCCCCAAATTGATACTTGGTATCCTACCAGCTATGTCTTTGGGATTAAATAATCCATGTCCCACTGGTGATTGCTTCTTTATTCTCCATCCTTTATCTTTTATTTTTTTATCTTTCACTCTTCTCCCTCTCCTTCTAAAGATCTTCTGCTAGATCATAGAAGCAACACAAGCTTATAGCAAAACTGCATAAAGTTTAGCAGTTAGATAAAGATCATCTATAATTTCACCACCCTGTGACATTTTTTCTACGTGTATGCATGTGTTTGCACACATATATACACATAATACAGATAGGTAAATGTAAATATACCATATTTTACAGAGTAAGGTCTTACAATACATACTGCTTTATAACTTGATTTTTCACTTCTATTGTGGAACTTACACGTTTATTCTTCAATGACTAGATTGAGTGCCTACCATTTCCTAGACCATTGCCAAGCTCAGAAATAGAGCAGAAAAGACTTATAGTCCCTGCCCTCATATTTACCAAATAATATTTTTCTATAACAGCAAATATAGATAAAGATCATTGTTTTCTTTTTCAGTGTTGGCTCCTATTACTGTTTTAAAAAGACCCAAAGATACACATTGGAAATTAAACTACTAATTTTTCCCCTTCTTTCTAGAGGCACAATGTTTTCTGGTCAGAAATGTCTTACTAAATATTTTATTAAATCAAAGCCAGACAAAGGACCATTAAAACCCTTTGCTACCCCTCATACCTAGGCTGACTTGGATGAGTGGAACACCATTTTGACAGGAAGACGAAGAGTTGGAAGTGCAGAGCCTGTAGAATGACACTTATACCACACTCACCCTACCCCAACCAAAACCTAAGCAACTGATGTTAAACAAACCAGCACAAATACACTTCATATACTATAAGAAAAGGATATCTTTTAGTCTATTTTCAACATATAGAGTATATTAATTGCTGCTTAGCAAAATAGTAACTCCAATGGAAAAAATATTTTTGCCTTCAACAACTAAAAAGTACAACCATTTAACACTTAGATCTTTAAGTGGGTAATCATTGAAATTTTAAGATTAAGTCTACTAGATTAGCCTGAGTAGTCAGCTATACATTTGTTTTTTTCAAAAATGGTACTTAAATAAATAGGCTTTGAAACCAGAAAAGCTGGTATTCGTGCTGCCTGTCACCTACTAGACCCAATAAGAAGAGACAGGGATTGAATTTTTATGGGCGCTTTGTTCAGATGGTCTCTGATCTGAGAAGATGGCAGATGTATACCCTAACAGAATGTCTTAAATTCCATTTTAAACTGGCCCTTTTTATAAAAGTGTAGGTAAGGGGATTGGAATTCAGGGAAAAAGTTAATCAGATAAAAGCTGCAGCATTCTTTCACCTGTGCCCTGGGCAGTGGTCTTTATCTGTGTCCTGAGTGGTGGGTGTCTCCCCCTGAGTACAATGGCTGAGATACCATCTTGATTGCTTGCAGTCCTTCTGAGGCACAAAGGTAGAACTGCTTATGGTCTCCTGGAGTCAAGGTGGGTCATACCTTCAGTTCCTGAAACAATAGCTTTTACATACACTGATTTGTAAGCTTATTAGCTATTACCTGAAACTAAAATTTTTCCAACATTTGAACCCCTCCCCCGCCCAGCCCCATCAGCTTCTCTCAAAACAGTAGGACTGCATCAAGGCTAGAAGACAAAGATAAAAAGAACTGCAAACTCAAGACTAGGAGTTGATTTTCACATGTAGATTTGGGGTAAAGGACATCTTTTGTTATTTTTTTCCCTCACAGTCCTGGCTAGTTCTAATTTTCCCATAATGGTAAACAAAAAATTAGAATGTGAGAAATCTGAAGACAGGGGCAGCTGCTTTAACACCCTAGATAACCACTCCCAAGTAGTCAAAAACTTCACACAGGTGGGCCACTGTGTTTGAAGTACTGAAATTCTTACCAGGAGCTGTGAGCACATGGCAGACACAGGCAGGGCCTGTTGTGGTATTTGGAACAGGCAGGGCTTGGGATGAAATTCTTCCACTTTGTTGACACAGGAACCTGTGTGCCCAGGGAAGGGCCTTCCAGGTGGAATGCTCCACATGGTCTTGCCCCAGGGCAGTCTCTCAGAAGCACCTGAGATGTCTACTTTGGCAGGAGTTCTAGGGGTTACTGAATA